CTTGTAATGCGTTCTGAGGCAAGCTGCAGACCCAGCTCTCGTCAAACCTTCGCAAACCACCCTAAACCCTAAGTTATCAACTCTTAAACATCAAAACTCCTCAACCCCAAACCCTAGATGGCTAAAGTAGACCCTAAAAGCCATGCTTCCGTTGCTGAAAAATCTAGAAAGCCTAAAACCCGAACCTTCATCTGGAGTGGAATAGGTTTTGGGATATCTACAGTATACAATAGTTTATTTATATCATATCCGATTGACTACGCCATTAATCACCGACTTTTCCGACCCCTAAAATCCAACCAGTCCCGGGGGCCTGGACGCTTTTCCGCTGAAGTTCGAAGCAGGCCTGGGCAGCTGACAACTTCGGGACGTAGGGCTTACAGTAGAAGCCAGAAAGTTGGAATATCATTATCGTAACCCCTTTAAGGTAAATTATAGGGGATCCTACCATTAATCCATATTCCAACTCTCTGGAGTTCCCTTTAGGAGCTTGGCGGCTGGAGATTACTTGGAGGGTCGGGGGACTTAGTAACTGGTTCTTTCTTATTAACCCCAATTAGGGTCCCTTTTAGGGTACTTATAAGTCTACTTACTACCTACTTACTAAGTCCCCCGACCCTCCAAGTAGGGGTTGAGGGTATCAGGTCTAGAGGTTCGGGGCTTAGGGGCGGAGGGTTTTGGGTTTAAGGCTCAACGCTGTTTTTGCGAGGGCATCTAATAGCTAGTGCCATTCACAAAACAACCGTGGGGTGTCAGGAGCTCAAAACTTTGGCTGTTCTGGCTTTTGCCACCAGAAAGATTTGGGTTCCCCATTCCCCTGCAACTTTTAAAAGCCTTGTTCCAGCTTTGCGGCTATACCGTCGCCCAGCACCCAGACAACCATCAACACCGTCTTCAACTCCAAATCGAAAATCGACAAAAGCAAAACAAAGACGTCGGCAGAAATCAGACGTGCCCATGCATGGGTTCCAAGTTGTTCAACAAACTGGCTGTTGACATGGGGAACGGCCCCGTGCAAATTGCAAGTTCTTATAGACGTAGCAGGGGTCATATACAGTGTTTAAAGGTGAACACTGTAAACTTATGTTCACAGCAGCTTTCTTGAAGGTCCGAGCACGTGGAAGCCGAATATGCAAGCCTAAAGCCTAAGCTTAATCAACCTCTAGAACGGTTGCTGTACCCAGAAAGCCCACTATCCTGTTCCAGCCAACATACTCGAGATGTAATGGAGGAAACTCCTGTTGTTTGGGCAAAAGCAAGTATGACGGCATCAGCAATTTTTGCTGATCTCACAATATACTTATATTGAGGAACAAAAAATTTTCAAGCCCGTTTACTAAGCCCGAAGATCACCACAACCCCGTCATTGTTTGTAAAGATGTAGTATTACAGCGCTGCAACTCTTGAATCACAACACCTGTCTGAGACTTGGGGCAGCTTTCCCTGAACCCTACTATCCTACTTTGTTAGGGCTCCTTATGATGACTTGTTTATGCAAGTCCTTAGCCTTAGCAACGTAGCGTTTCGATGTTCTTCGGTGACTGAGCGAAACTCTAGCACCGAATCTTCGACCCCAAACCATAGCCACCGAATCTCAACGGCTGGTTCAATTCCACTGAAGCCCACAATCTACAAAGGCTCCTATATGAAAACAGCAGAAAATCATGAAGAGGAGTACACCCTCATTGTATCTTGTAGTGATTGTATAGTAGCCCTGATAGCCATATCGTAACCATTCTAGTCCCCTGTAACGGAACCTTTACTGGATTCCTTTACGGGCCCAGAACCCGATTGTACCTTTTGAAGGATTCTGTTAAGGATCTAAACCCTAAACCCTTAAACGCCACCCTTAGGAAGTTGGCCTCAAGGGCTGCTTGCCACTGCGAGCGCTTTCCACCTGAGGTCTGTCGTTAGAGTTTAGGGTTTAAGGTTAGGTTAGGTCGGGCTTACGGCTTGCGATGTAGAGCTTAGGGCTACGGATTATAAGGCTTAGGGATGTTTAGGGACTCGCGCTTGTGGGATGCAACAGTTTCATTCATGTCAAAGCGCTAAGGAAGCTAAGGGATAAGTCTCTCAATGACGACTCTGCACGTCTGACGCGGCAAAGAGCATGAATTTCAACAAGTTTTGCGAAACCCGGAGCCCTAAGCCCTCACCCACTTTAGTCAATAAACCCGAAAACCCCAAACCCAGAAATTTAAAGGGGCTAAGCGACTGCACGACCGAAGAACTTAATTCTGGAAGCTAAAGAACTCAAAAAAGTCCCATTGTTGGGACTTAAAGGCCGTGGCTTCATGCTTGCAAGGAGCGCTTAATGCTTCCGAGCGAAAGCAACCAGCAAGCAACCAGCCTTTTCGAAGGATAACACCATAACATCCTGCTTGTCGCCAACGTTGCCTTTCTTCCAGAGGGCGAAGGCAGCTCATCCGAAAGGCAATGCTCGCCGGCTGTCCTAGGACGAATAATTTCACCGCGACCGCCACACCAGCAGCACAACAGTTCTCGACGTGCCGGCGAGTTTGGCGATTATGCAGCACAACATGCATAAAACCCTAAACCCCCAACCCCTAAACCTCTAAATCCTAAACCCCAAAGCACCTAAACTCTAAACCCTTAAACCCTAGATCCTAGAACCTTAACGCCTGATTTCTAAATCCGAACCCCCAAAGCACCTGAACTCTAAACCCCTAAACCCTAGACCCTAAACCACTAAACTTCATAAAAGCGCATTGGGTGGCTCTGCGCCATCAAGGTCAGGGCTTAAGCGCCGCCCACCCACCGGTGCGCGGTGGAGGCCTTGAGTTTAGGGGTTTAAGGGTTTAGGGGTTTAGGGGTTTAGGGTTTAGGGTTTTAGGGGTTTAGGGGTTTAGGGGTTTAGGGGTTTAGGGGTTTAGGGGTTTAGGGTTTAGGGGTTTAGGGGTTTAGGGTTTAGGGGTTTAGGGGTTTAGGGGGTTTAGGGGTTTAGGGGTTTAGGGGTTTAGGGGTTTAGGGTTTAGGGGTTTAAGGCTTAGGGTTGGCATAAACAAGAGCCTGAGGAGCACCGCGGGATAAAGGTTTTCAGGCTTTGGGCTCAGGTTTTCGGCTACTAGGGCTTTATGACACCCAGCTTCAGGTTCAGATTCGGGGTTTAGGATGCGACTTTAGGTACAGGTAACTTTTCAACCGCCTAGCATGAACTGAACACTCGCGCAACTACCATAAAGCCCCAGCCACACACACCAAACCAAGTGCTCAACCCTCAGCTCATATCTTCAACCGAACTGAACTCTCCCCAAACCCGAAACTTAAGACTTGTACTAAACCGTAAGCCCGGAAATAACAACAAAGCAAAACTTTGGAAGGAAGCCTACAACCTTATAAGAAAGAAACTGCAAAAACACCTCAGGCCTGAACCTCAAATCTTAACCCCTAGCCAAGGCACACTCCGTAATCGCCGTCGTCCCCGCCAGGAGGCGATCCATCGTCGGTATCGTGGCATTTTGAGGTTCAGGGTTTAGGGCGAGGCTCGACCAACTTGAAGTTGCGTTCCAGCTTAAGGCTGTAAGGGGTTCCAGAAGTTCGGGGTGAGGGTCATAGGTTTAAGAGTTCGGGTCTAAGAGTTCAGGGCTTAGCTTAGGGTCTATGGGATAGGTTAGAAGCTGCCCCCACCCTGTAATAGTGACCATAAGGATTATAAAGGATTGTATTAGGACCCTATTATACTCCTATTATACCACTATTACAGGGTGGGGGCAGCTCCTAAGGGATAGGGCTTAGGGTTTAGAGGCTTGCAGCGCCGGCGCAGGAGACTTGCCTGTGTTCGGCTTAGTTTTTGGAGGCTCTACTACAGCAGGAGGTGCTTTTAAAGCCTTTGAAACATATTAGTAGGTAAGATCCTCTTAAGCCCAATAAGAGCAAGTATAAAATATCCCAAAGCACCACCTAGTACAGCAGGATGATGAAGATGACGAAGGTGATGATGGCGACGTTGCTTAGTAGTGACTGAAAGCCACACGCGTATACAAACCCCTGAAGCCTGCCCCCAGAGCCTCCAAAACCCCTTAATTAAGGAATATACCTTAAACCTAGGGTTCCTTAAAGGGTTCCTTAAAGGGATCTATAAAGGGATCTATAAGGAATATACCTTAAAGTATAGTAGGATCCATCAAATGGTTTATGGTGGCAGCCGCAAAGTTGGAAGATGCGCACCCAAAATTTCAGCACCCCACAATTGGAATAAAACACATCTTCCAACTTTGGATTCTTCCAAGTTTGCAACCGCTCCAAATGCCGGGACCTAAATTTAAAGTTGGAAGATGGGACCAAGCAGACCCAACATTGAATTGCAGTTTCTCCGTCTCTCTCTCTACAATACTGCAGTAACTGAAGCTTTTCTCCCTCTGCAATACTGGAGCGGCCATGGTGTTTGCAGCTTCTCTCTTTCTGCAATATTGGAGCGGTCGTAGTAATTGTGCAACACTGGAGCGGTCCTAGGAATTGCAGTTCTCTCTCTTTGCAATGTTGGAGTGGTCGTGGTATTTGCAATTTTTCCCTCTGTGCAATACTGGAGCGCTCATTGTATTTGTAGCTTTTCTCTCTCTGCAATACTGCAGTGGTCGTAATACTTGCAGTTTTTCTCTCTCTCTCTCTCTCTGCAAGACTGGAGCGGTCGTAGTAATTGCAGGTTCTCTCTTTCTGCAATACTGGAGCGGTCGTAGTACTTGCAGTTTTTCTTTCTTTCTGCAATATTGGAGTGGTCGTAGTAATTGCCGTTTCCCTCTCTCAGCACTACTGGAGCGGTCGAAGCAGTTGCGGTTTCTCTCTCTGCATTACTGGAGCTGCTTCCCAAAAACCGAAAGTTGGAAGATACCGTTACCGCATCAACCGGTCCAAACGCCGGGACCTTTACCGTTGTATGGAGGGTGCAAACAGGCCGGCTGAACGCACATGAGAAATGCACGCACAGCGACACCGATGCACCCGAGAGTCCTGTTCGCGAGTCCTGTTGACGACTGCCCGTTTTAGGCGTCGCAAAAAGAGCCGATCCTATGTGCCATGTCGCCTTGACACATCCACTGAAAGTCTGATAGCCAGTTCCCTGGCATTGTTGGCCGCATGGAGAGACCTGGTGAAGCAAACGTAACTCCCAGCCAGCGAAGATGCGGGACCGCCTTGACTTCCAACCCCGGCCAAGGCCGAAAATTGTAGCGCTGGCCCAGTTGCTTGAGAGCAGCTTTGAAGATGGTCACCAACTGTGGAATCCCGCACGGTAGCAAGGCATCCAGGGCCTGAGGCAGCGGTATGTACACCAGGTCGTTCTGTCTTCTGTGTTGGACCAGAGGCGGGGCGCGCGTGGTCCAAACAAAATGAAACAATAACTCCAGGAAAGACACTTGGCCGTCTTGGCTCACTGGCACTGGCAAAGTGGGCCAAACAAGCACGCGCATCCAGTCGAGCAAGTTCTCGCCAAATTGTTGGCCAAAGCTCCATCCGGCCCAGTCTAATTCCAACACATCCGGTAGCTGGCAAGTGCCAGATGGCACCTGCCACCTGCCGTAACGTTCCAGAAGATGCTGCAGCTGGTCTGAGGCATCCGTCGGTGTAGGTAACTGTACTTTTTTGGCCTCGCCTCTCAACTTGATATCCAACACACCAATGTCGACCAAGGCTCGGCAGAAAGAGCGGAGCAGGCCCTGGTGATGATCACAGTGGGAGGCAACCTGTTGCGCAGTATCCTTGATGTAGTCGGGCAAGGAGGCAAAAGCGGCCTTTGCTGCCGAATCTGCCGCCTCGTTACCATAGGTGGCCCAACGGTCCTCAGTAGACATCTGCTGTACTTCCTGAGCTGTGCGATGCGCCTTGACTTTGTGCAGAGTACATGGTCGGGCGGGGCTCACCTCATGAAACAGATCAGCGAAAGCTCTATGTCGCACAGCTGGGAAACCTTCTCGATGCCACTCTTCCCATGCATCTATGGCAGGCTGGCAATCTGCATAAATGTCCACGGCACACGGGGTCTGGCTTGCCCATGCTGCAGCCCAGATTATCGCTGAAAGTTCGGCGCGAGGCACCGACTGTTCACCAGGAACACAACCCTGTGCAAGGATCTGAAAGCCAGCTGTCTGAGCTCCTGGCACACCATTTGCAATCTCCTGTTTCCACTCAGGATCTGCCCGAATCACTGCCCATGTGGCGACTCTGGCCTGGGCAGTGTTGTTGTACTGAGCACTGCCGCCCGTAAAAAGACAAAGCTGCGATGCTGCCGCTGCTGGCGACGCCAGGGGCGGCAACTTCAACCCTTGCAGTATGAGCTGCAAGAGGGGAGCCTCACTTGGTAGCGGAGCAAATGTCATATGTGTCCAATAGGGGCAAGAGCCCTGTACCTGCTGGAGCACGGTCTGATGCTCCTGGCGAGCCGCATCCAGTGGCTGACACTCGAAGACCCTATGTGCCTTTGTATCCTGCTGACCACACAATGGGCAATGCTCGTGGTCCTCCCGTGACCATGAAGCTTTCTCAGCTCCTGACATAAAGCCACCGGCGACATGTCGAAGCAGGATCTTCTGCTCCCAGGGCTTAAAGGTCCTAAGGGCTTTGTGTGTGGTGATGGCGTCCGGGGCTGGTGCTCGCTGCAAACCGGCTCTATGCAGAACCTGGTTCTGGACTTCATCTGCCCACGCCTGTTGGACGGCCTTTTGGATCTGCTGTGGAGGCGTGCGAAAGACATGAAAGGCGCAATGCAGGGGGCCCTTACACCAACCGTCCGTTTTCGGTACCCAATTGTTGCGGTGCAGCAAGATCTGCAGGGCGCCAGCAGGGCCGCAGACGGAGCGCTGGGAGGTGTTCAACGTGATCAAACGATGCCACACTTGTCTTGCAAGGGACGGGAACAGGTCCGCCATCCTGCGGAGTTGCCGTAGGTGATGGCCCAAGAGGTAGACTTCAGGATCAGTGGCTCCTGGGGACAAGTACAGGGCAGCGTGAGGGGACACAGTATGATGGTTACCCACAAGCGCTCGGGCAGCGTGGCCTCTGAGCTTCTGCATGGAGGTGAGGCAAGGGCTAAGCCCCTCCGTCCCAAAGAAGAGGAAAGGCCAGATGCCGCCCTGGAGAACCCTGGCTTTAACTTTGAGGCTTTGCGGATCCTTGGCCAGCTTTCCGAGTCGGGCAATGGCATCTTCTGTGCGGTCGGTGAATCCGGTGCGAACGGGCTTCCGGCTAAACTGCAAGAAGGAGCCCAGCTCCCGCACATGTGACACCACTGGTAAGCGGAGCCCGTCAGGGAGGAAGGTGGGGCCAATGTCACGCCACCAAGTTCTGGAGACAGGTTGGGTGCCCCAGACGTAGGTTTTCCCCCAATCCACTTCTAATCTCAAACCTTCTGTGAGGTCCTGTAGGACCAACAAAGCCGGGCCGTGACAATCGGGCATGTCTGTGGACCAGGTCCAATTGTCCATGTAGGTGCGGGCTTGCACGAGACCGCTCAGGGCTGACACGAAGACAAAGCAGATGCCCAGCATGGCAAGCACGGAAACCGGGTCGCCCTCCGGCGCGCCAGTTGTGGAAGGAAGGCCAGCGCTGAGGCTACCATCAATCTCAAAATGTCTTTGGACTTTGCTGAGACAATCCCGCCAGGTTTGGCAGACAGTGGCAGGCACGCCAAGGAAAATCATGGCCTGAGCAATGGGGCACCTGGGCAGGAAATTGAAGGCCTTACGCAAATCCAGGGACAGGCCTGAGAGATCAGTGCCGTCCAGCAAACTCTCTTCCAGCTCGGCTTGAATGCTGTAGCTCAGACCCACGACGGACCGATGCTTAAGGCAGCCGGCAACACCGCAGGGCAGCGTATAACTCCAGACCTTTAGCACCTGTGTACAGAGGACCCGTGTCCAGAGCCTGTACAGGCAACTAAAGATTGTGATGGGTCTTGCTTGCGATGCGCAGGAGGGGGCCTCTACTTTGCTCAAGACTGCTACCCTTCCACGGAGGAGATCGGCCGGGAAGCACGCTCGGCCAGGGCAGTGCAGAACTACTGCTAAATCATTCAAAGCCGCGAGAGGAAGGACCCTGAGCTCACTATTACTCCACCCGCAAACGCCTCTAGCCTTGTGGGGGGACAGCCGTTTAGCCACATGCTGCCACGCTTGTGCATCCAACATGTTGACCTCGAAGGGCGGGCAAGGGCTGTGGAGGCGATGAAGCAACGTGGAAAACTGGGACCAACGAGAGATATCTGCCTCCTCGGCTCTGGTGTCTCGGTTCCAGATTGGATGCCAATAATCCATCAAAGCTCCTACGACACCTTGCCAAGAGCAGTCCCTTCTGGACCTCACTAGCTGGCCTCGGAGTGGGAGGACAACATCATCGTCTTGAGGAAAGAGCACTGTTACCTCGTTGCCTTGTTTAGCTGTAACCTGGCCCGGGACAGCGCAGTCAAACGCCGGGACCTAAAGTTGGAAGATGGGACCAAGTCAAACCCAAAGTTGGAAGATGTCGTTGCCGCATCAACCGTTCCAATTGCCGCCTTCCAACTTTCCGGCGGCTACTGTAAGGTATATTCCTTAATTAAGGAATATACCTTAAAGTATAGTAGGATCCATAATATGATTTAAGGTATATTCCTTAATTAAGGAATATACCTTAAAGTATAGTAGGATCCATAATATGATTTGAGGTATATTCCTTAATTAAGGGGTTTTGGAGGCTCTGGGCGGACCTTTCACAGCAACAACCAAGTACGGCTTCTGTTGATGGCGGCAGAGTTGGAGTCTGGACAAGTACCCTAAGGCGCAAAATGGCCGGTTTAGGGTTTAGGGTTATATAATATGGCCTTTCTATTTAGGCCAAAAAGACTCAAAATATGAGCCCTTAGAGCCTTAGGGATAAGTAAAGCATGCAGACGAGGGCTGAGCCTTCAACAAATCTGCGGAAAACCCTTGCAAAGGCAAGGTATTCGGAATTCACACGGCGGTGTACTCCAATGAGAAGGGGTGTGCCATTATATGCTGCACAGGCTCATCCAAAAAGATTCAGGAGCTGATGGTTTTATGCTGAAGACCCTACAGATTGCGCTCATCTTATGCAGCTATAGGTAGGGCCCAAAAAAGCACATAAGCAAAAATTAGGAGAGGGATAAGGAAGCCCAATAAGGTAGGGATATCCCTATAAAATGCTTCTGCTTATGTGCTTTTGGGGTCCTAATAGGGGAGTCCTGGCTCGTAAAACCCCAAACGGAGTCTAAACCCTGAGCTTGCAGCCTAAACCGAAGAGCCCCCCCAAGCTCCGAAGTTTAGGGTTTAGGGTTTAGGGTTTAGGGTTTAGAATCCAAGTGTGGTCAAGGGTTACCCAGAGGGTCCAAGTACCCAAATAATAGGGTTTTAGATCCCAGAAATCCATACCCTGAGTGGTTTTTATTTGGGTACTTGGACCCTTACGGTTAAGGGTTTAGGATGTTGGATTTTGAGGTTGAGGGTGTTGGGTTTAGAGTTTAAGGTTCTGGGTTTGGGCTGGGCTGACGATGTACCCTAAATCGTGATTTCTGAGACACCAATGGTAGGTGACCCTCAGAACATACATCTACTATCGGGGCATTAATAATTAGAATAGTGTTTTGGTGCCCATTATACTATAAGTATAATAAGGAACCCGAAAGTGCTATATATATATATACACATGCATACATATATATATATATATATATATATATATATGTATGTATATGGGCAATTATTGAGCCCCCATATTATAGTACCCTTATGGATCCCTTATAAGGTAACCTTATAGACCCCTTTCAAAAGGATCCCTTTAAAGGAACCCTTATTAGCCGTGAGCCTCCTTGGCTGACTTCTGAACCCCTCCTAAAAGTTAAACTTTCAGCCTCCTTATTATAGTTCATATAGACACCCAAAAAGTTAAAGTCCTAGGAGTCAACCAGAAGAACACCAAGTTATAGACCCCCTTAAAAAGGATCCCTTTAAAGGAACCGTTTGGTAATTATTAGCCGTGAGCCTCAAGGTCAGCACTCAGGGAGCAAGGCGGAATCTTGGGCGCCATGTGAAACTCAAAGACGTCGTTGTGACGCCTTCAGGGTTGCTTAGGGTAGGGTTTATGGTTTAGGCTTTAGGGTCTAGGGTTTAGGGCGCCTTTGGTTTAGGTTTGCGGCTTTTGGTGGAATTTTGCATTAGGCATCTAAGGAATCGTATTTTAAGGCTTTTGGGCGCAAAGACTATAATTACCATATAAGGCGTTTGGGCTAGCTTGATGCCCAGGGCTTTGATGCACAAGTAGTCTCTAATCTCTACCTAAACCTTCCAAAATACGGTGTTTAAGGACCTACGTAAGGAAACCATAATCGGGAACTAGGCTCATAGCGTAAATCATCCTGATTCGGGCGACATAGCCGCCCTAACCCCTAAACCCTAGAGAAGCCTTGTAGAAACCTATAGACCCCTTCAAGGAAATCTTGAAGACACCCTGAAATCAAGCTCCTGAACAAGAACCCAAACCCACGGCCCTACTGTAAACCCTGAAGCCCAAACCTCTAGGCCCTAAACCCCTAAACTCCTAAACCCTAAACTCTAAACCCTAAACACGTCCCTGAAGCCGAATAACAGTTTAGGGTTTCGGGTTTTAGGGTTTAGGGTTTAGAGAATAGGGTTTAGAGTTGAGGGTATAAGAGCTTTCACAGTCAGCATAGGCTTCGGGAGGCATACTGCTATGGTACAACTAGGGTTAGGATCAGATGAAGGAGCCCTGAGGAATAATCTTAACTTGGCTGACTTCTGAACCCCTCCTAAAAGTTAAACTTTTAGCCTCCTCATTATAGTTCATATAGAAACCCCAAAAGTTAAAGTCCTAAGAGTCAACCAGAAGAACACCAAGTTAATAATTGCTCCGGCCAGTCATCTTGACACTCTTTTGAACTCTACATAAAGATTTAAACCAATGCGCACACCCTAAAGTCGCAAAGCCCGAGATTCCCACCTCATGCCGTTGGAGCCTCCGAAGACCACCATGGAGTCCTTGATTAAATTTGCTTCCCTCCTTTTCTTTTTTTTAAAGTATTTCGGGTTCAGGTCCGAGAGTTTCCGGGTTCAGGAGTTTAGGTTTAGGTTTCGGATTTTGAACTTAGGGCTTAGGGCTTTTTGAGATGAAGATTGGAGGTTCGGTTTGAGGTTTAGACTCCTAGTAAGAATATGTAAGAATCAGAACCTTCATGGTAGAAATCGTGGTCACTTCACTGCCATATGCGCTATTGCAAGCATTGTCGTTAGCAGTGCTACTGTCCTCGTCGTTCCTCTTGCTGCCATTCCTACCACCTGGCTGGATGATCACGCAAGGTGGCGCCTGTTGCCACACACATGTCATGGAAGAAGTCACTAGAGTGCCTGAGACGCACACCCTCAACACTGAGTTGTTGATTAGCCTCGTACGCAGCAACCGAAACCCCGAACCTTAAATGCGATGCACAACGCGAAGATCCTAAACTTAGCCACCCACGGCAGTCGGTAACCTGACCCAAAAGCTAAAATTCTAAAACTTCTGGAACAACGAAACAAGCCCAATACCCCTAGCAGCTGAAACAGCGTTTGCACCCTGAAATCTACACCTCTAAACCCAAAAATCCTAAACCCCAAACCCGAAGCTCCAAACCCCAAAACCCCATAAAACACTACGCCCCAAACCCTAAAACCCCAAAGCCCTAAACTCTAAATCCCTAAAGATCTAAACTTCTAAACCCTAAACCCTGGAATTCTGCAGGCGGCACCTTCCGCAGGACCGCGGCGTGGAAGTCTCGGCCGGGTGGGCAGTCTTTGCCATGCACCTTGGGCTAAGAACTGTCTGGGGGTAAAGCTTAGGGATGTAGGGTGTGGGGCTTAGGGTTTCGGGTTCCGGGCTTAGGGCATGCACTGTGGCGTGTTGATTTTCCGTTCCAACCATATCCTACGTACCCAAAATTTATATCATGCAGTCCCCCACTTTTTTAGCCTACATTACCACTATCCTAAACAATTGGACCCATGTGGTTAGGGCTTCGGGATCCAGGTAGGGTTCACGGCTTTGGTGTCATTTGGGATAACCCGGAGCACCAAAAAGATGCTACGTACCGGGTGTAGAATTAGGGGCTTAGCGTTTAGGGTTTGGGGTTCAGGGTTTAGGGTTGAGGGAGCTTTGAGCCTAGAGATTTGTTTAGGGTTGAGGGGTTAGGGTTTTAAGCAGAAGGCCTTTTCGGTGCTCTGAGTTTGAGGCTTTTGAGGGTTCTGGGTCATGTGATGCGAAGCTTCGTTTTTTACGAGTCATCCCCGTGGCAGAGACACCGAAGACATACACATGCCAATCTTCCCTGCCACTCCTTAGCTCCTAAAAAGCCCCAATCAAAGCTCTGAGCCCTCCATCCTAGCTTTGGTGAACTGATTGGGTTTAGGGTAGGGTTTTAGGGTTTAGGGTTTAGGGTGTTAGGATTTCGGGTTTAGGGTTTTAGGGTTTCGGGTTTAGGGTGAACGCTTCCCTTTCAAGAAGCCTTCTGCTTCTAGACGCATGGCACAAGCATAATCTTGCTGACATCCTAAGCAACCCTGAAGCCAAACAGTCCTAGACCCACGAACCCCTGCAAAAAACCTTCCAAATGCATCCCCCAATTCAACATTCTAGAACTCTGCAAAACTCTCCTGAACGTAAAACCCTACTGAAAACCAGACAAAACCCTATAGAACTCTACAAAACCCTAAACCCTAAACTATAGCACCCTACCAAACCCTAGAAACCCCTTCGAGCGCTGACTCCCATAGCGAGACCAAGGCGCCACGACGCGACTCCACACCTGCAGCTACTGCGGCTCCATGAAGGACGACCGTAAGGCCCCATAAAAAGGAACTACTATGGGGCCTTTGGGGAGTCCATAAAGGACGAGGGAAATCTTTAAGGCCGCTAGGTTCTAGAAACCCTGGGCATGAAAATAGCCCAAAAGCCTTTCTTAGTATGGTCTTTGGGCCCAAAAGCCTCTCCACAAAAAAGACGACCCTAGGGGTGCATAGTGGCTCCTCCGGGGATTAATTACCTCATAAGATTCTATATACGAACCCCCAAAAGGAACTACTATGGGGCCTGAGGGGAGTCCATAAAGGACGAGGGAAAGCCTCTAGCTATAGTCTCCATCGCAGTTCCTTTTTGAGGTGACATTAAAGGATCCTAATTACAAATTTGGTTAAACTAGAAAAAGCAACTGCAATGGAGACTATAGGTAGGAAGGGCTCTATACAGGGTTCTAGAATGGAGAGATCTTCTAAGTATAAGCTGTAAGAGTTCTATAAGATGTCGGATGTGGGCTTGCCCTGAACCTTCATGCTTGGATGCGCATCTCCAAATGCAATGCCTGTATCTCGTCTTCACCGGAACTACAAGCCGACCCTGTAATTTTGCTACCCCTAAGGCTCTAAGGACTCACATTTTAAGGCTTTTGGGCCTAAAGACCATATTATGAAAGGCTTTTGGGCCATTTGGAGCCTTAGGGTACACATCAGGACGAGTCCGGGAAAGCTTGGAGCGCTGAGTGAGGGAAGGCTCCAGAACTTGTAGCCACGAATGTAGGAACCTGATTAAGAAACCCTGGGCCTTTATGAGGGCTCCTTTAGAGGGGTCGATAAGGGTTACTATAAGGGATCTATAGGGGTACTATAATAATGTAGGAACCTGATTAAGAAACCTTGAGCCTTTATTGCGTTTCCTTGTTGGCATCCTACTTTTTTGAGGTGATAGGCCCAGGGTTTCTTAATCAGGCTCCGACATTATGCTGCATGCCACCCCCGCCCCCCCCCCCCCCCCCGCCCGCACCCCCGCCGGCCCCTCCACAATCAATCCTTATTCTGGAGCGACTTCGCGACACCTGTGCTGAAGGCCTACCTACTCTCCAAGATCGTCTCAAACTTCTCAGGGTTCAGGGCTCAGGGGCTTAGGGTTTGCCCAGACGCTCGCAATCCACTTGCGCTCGCTTCCCTTCAATTCGTTGGCTTTCATGGGACTTCATGTTACTGACACGATCATAGGACTTAGTAAGCAGGTGACGAGTACAGCACAGTTATGCAAGTACGCCACGTGAAGTCCTTCTTGCTGCATTACATAACCTACTTCCCATAATGTATGAAGTCCTCCGACCCTTGTGGTGTCATCTTTGAATCTTTGAATATCGAAGAAACGCGAATCTTGAACCTCACAAGTGCACCTTCGTCTCGAGGTCAAGCTGAAGGAGATCATCGTGACGGACGGTGTCGTTGCCACCATAGAGGTAGATGTAGCCTTCAGCGCTTGTAGTTTAGGAAGCGGGACTCAAGGTTTTAGGGCGGGGAAGCCTTGCAAGACTGGGAAGGGAGCTTTCAATCCGAAAACCCTTGAATTCTCTGGGTTCCGGAGCTCTTTGTCTGTTGAGAGAGTCGGCAGACGTAGTAAATATCCTGGACATTAGCAGACTAATCTGGGATGTTTCGCATTCCATGTTAGTCCATGAAGGGCATGCTCGGCGGAAACATTACCTATACTCCGCTTAGAACCATAATAACACTAACATGTTTAATATTCTCTTGGGTTTTATATGAACAAAAATTTAAAAACACACAATTCTTAAGGAGACCATAGTTACTGCAGCGCTGACAGCCAGCCCCTCAGTTGTTTGATGAGATCCTCAAGCCTTCGGGCTTTGGAAGTCTGCGTCAAGGGGACAGCTTCCGAAAATAGGGTACCCTGATATAGCACCCTAAGTAGTGGGATCCTTACTATAATGTGTCCCTAAACCCTGAACCCTAAACCGTAAACCGTGTATGATAAGCACCCCAAAAATAAGGCACCCCTAACTTTCGGGGAAACTCCCAGGGCTTCAGAATTGAATAAGGGCTTCCACCCAGGGGTACGGGTTTGGAGCCAGGGCTTTAGGGCTTAGGGTTTAAGGTTTTGGTTTAGGGTTTAGGGTTTAAGGCTCAACATAGCCTATGAGACATCTCATGAAGTTTTCTAGCATCTAGGGACTCAGATTTTAAGGCTTTTGGACGCTTTTGTGCCATTTTGATCCCCAGGGTATTGTCTTTGGACCCAGAAGACTCGAACATACGACGTTACAGTCAGATCTTGACACAACTGCTGCAAGGCCCCTCTACACGCTAGCCCCCTTTTCCCTTTTCCCACTCATACAGCCGCCACATTAGAACTAAACTTCGCCATGAAAAAACCTTTTTACACAGCTCCACTTCTGAAAGCCATACAGAAAAACACGCCGAAAACTGCCCTAGATTCGACAAGATAAAATTGGGCCCCCGGCCGTCCCTCAACACAGCCGAGTGTGCGTAGCGGCCGTCAGAGAGATCGGTGCCTCGGCAAGCTACCGCAATTTGTTCACAAAGCGTTTCAAAGTCTGGATATGAAACCCTAAATCCTGAAACAATTGATTGAACCATTGAACCTCTACACCTGTAGACCAGAAACCTAACCCCAAACCCTAGACCCTGAACCCTGCGCAAACCTTAACCCCAATTTAAAAGTCTCAGCTCAGCGGATAAGGGCCTCCTGTTCTTCAATAGCCCTAAGGGTTCAAAGGACCGAATAAGTAGGTACTCCGCATCTTTTGGTAGTAGGTAGTAGATATGTAGGCCAGGGCTTTGGAGAGTATATGGATTAGGTACTTGGACCCTTGGGGTGTAGTAGACCCTAAACCCTCAACCCTAAATCCCGATAGATCCCTCAAAGAACGCTTTTAGGAGCTCCTTAAGGAACCCTGTCGATTCAAAGCTGGATCATCGTTCGAATTGGGATTGTCAGCTGTGCTCGAGGATGCCATATCCAACACCAGTTCAGAGGTCACAGAAACAAGTGAGGTGCCATGGGCTCAAACCTCTAACACAAAGCTCTTTTCAACGCAACATGCTCTGCACGTGTCAAGCTGTGTGTACTCAGTACTACACTATGCTCGTACTGCGTTGGCTTCTGCCGATCATGGCTTTAGCCTACAACTGTCAAGTTGGCTTCTGCCGATCATGGCTTCAGCCCTCACGGCCCTCTGGGCCACCGCTAGCCAAAGGCTTCGGTTTTGCGTCATTTACATGAGCATCAAGTGGTATCTCGACACTCCTCCTTGAACTTCCTTCCCTTTGGGAAGACGTTCACCTATTGCCATTCCGGGATGCCGCTTGAAGACAGTACCTACAGAACATACGTTTGTTCGTTCTGACACCCCTGAGTGCATGGCAATCGGGAAATATGTGGACTACACCAGGGGTTCTACCGCTGGACGTAGTCAGCTCAATCTCGCATAACTCCTCATGACTCAACCCTGTTGGTTGACTAGTTTGCACTGCAACTTCCCTTGTTCCCGGTAAATTACCCACTACTCCAGCAGAGGAAGTCAAAAGGCCAATTTCCGGTCGCTGCTCGGAAGCAGGAGGGAAGTGAGATGACGACGCCGACGAGGAGGCCGTAAATCCAAAGGCTCTTCCGACAGTCGGACATGGAGGTGGTGGTGGAGGGGGACTTGGAACGGACGTGCTTAAGTCTCGGCTCATGTCAGGCGGGGACTCTCGCGGCTGAGAATACCTTGCGTCCACATACACCATTGGCCTAGACGGTTCAGGGCGGGGTGGAGCTGAAATGCTAGTCTCAGATTCAACAGCATCCTCAGGAATCCTCCTCCTCAGACCTGACACTTCTCTTTCAATGGCACGCCTAACAGCCTCCTGCCTTCTTGACCTTCTTTCCTGTCCTTGACCTTCCTCCTCCTCAACTCTGGCCGATCTAACCTCATGGGCATCTGGAGACCTAGTGCCTCTCAGGCAGTGTTTCCCTGCCTCCCACACAAACAAGACAGAGAAAACTAGCATTGTCACGAGTGCACTCAGTTCCAGCCCAAGAGGCTCTGTGTCTTCCTCGTCGCTCATCGCATTTGAGCACACCAATTGAGACATAAACGTCAACAACATCATCAGACAACTTGGTACCTGGGCCTGAACTTGCACGTTAACCTGACCTTGCACCTCGGACTCGGCATGATCTTGCAATCCTGACTCTGCACGACCTTGCAATCCTGACTCTGCATGACCTTGTGCCTCGGACGCTGCAGGGTAACACACCTGTGCTGCAATACTATCAGGGGCAATAACCGGGCCTAAACCGACTAACCCACTAAGGAATTCGTGCCTGGGTCCAGGTAGAATCTTTGTCAGACCATCAGCTAACTGCACGTCCCCCGGGCAATGTTCTACTTCAAGTTCTTGTCTGTCCTGGAGATCCTTCAAGTAGTTTCCCCTGACCCTTAAGTGTCTGGTTCTCGAACTACCATTCCCCTCACTCAGTGCAATTGCCGCGAGGTTATCAACTCTTAGCAACATTGACAGGAGGGATGGGTTCAGGGACCTCAGTAGTGCTTGGGTGCTCTGGCCTAGCACTGTACCTTCAACTGCCGAAATCAACTCGGATTCCGCTGTGCTCAAGGTAATCATACTCTGCCTTTTGCCCTTCCACAGGATTACCCGGCCAAGGTACATAACTAATACCCCGCTAACCGAAAAACCCCCATAAGGAGCAAAGGATGCATCCGTGTAAATCACAACTCTACTTTCGGCAGACAAATCTGGAACCATTGACAACCTGTAATCCTTCGTGGCTCCTATGTACTCCAGCAGTCTGAGTCCAATCCTTTCCACATAGGATGGAGCCCGCGTGCTCCACGAGCTCATAAGGTTCACGGCATATGCAAGGTCAACTCTTGTCCTCTGAGTAATCCACAGCAGTTCACCTGTAATCTTCTGTGCTCGCTTCAAGTCTTCCGGTTTATATTGTTCTTCTTCTGGAAGTTCCTTCACCCAATCACGTGGAAGCGGGCTCAACCTTTTCCGTGGTGTCATACCGTATGACCTCAACAGCTCATCTATGTAACCAGTTTGTCCAAGCTCGAAGCCAGCTACTTTCCCATCTTTCTTCACCAAGTGAATATCCACTCCAAGGAAGGTAACCGGCTCTTCCTCTGTTGCCTCCTGCAATGGAGTACACTTCCACTGAGATTTGATGAAAGAATGAAACGCAGTAGCTTGCTTCCCGTCAGACAGCACCAGTATATCATCAACATAGACCAAGACAAACCCACGTACCTCGCCACCTTTAGTCTCAATAGACCACAGGTTGGACTCCAGATCACACTGTCTCAGATGCATGCTTTCTTCGCCACACTCCCATGACGCCACTTTCAGGACACCATCTCGGTAGTTGCCCCACCACCTGGGGCTTTGGCGCAATCCATACATTGCCTTGTCTATAGCCCAGTATTCGTCAGCACTCACTATGCCCATGTCGTACAGAACACGTGGAGGCTTAAGCAAGATTCGGACCTTCTCGTGCGCAGGAATTGGGGCCAGAAGGAATGCGTTGCTCACGTCTGTCACATAAGCTCCGTAGCTTCTCGAACCTGCCTCGATGAGAGCCGTCCTTAAGACGTCGGCGGGGATACCCCCGGCGTACAAGTCGATGCCTGCTTCCCTGGTTTCAAAATTCCCACAGCCCACCACTCTGCATTTCCTTCTAAAGAAGGACTCACCTGTCCCTGGTTTCGCAGTGAAAACTGTTTTCGCAGGAAGTACCTGGGTGCCTGGGACTCGGAGCTCTCTAGTTGCTTCGTCCCCTTTTAGACGCCGTATTGCCTTCATAGCCTCCAATGCCGTAACTTCAGTTTGCGCTGCTGCTTTCCATCTCTCTAGGTGCTGGCGAACTTCACCTGGGGAAACGTTGTGCACAACTCTCAAGGCCGTTGTTAAGGAACCCAAGATACCCTCAACATCCCGTGTGTACATGCCATCATCGACCTTGGCAACCATAGGTTTGTCTCCTTCCACACTCCCGGCACTCCCATCCTTAGCCGTTAGCACACTAGTCGGGTCGGTTGTTGGCACTGCGATGGTACAAACACTTCCCGTCTCTTCTTGGAGTCCTTGCGGGAGATGAGACTCGACTACCTTGCATACATAACTACTGGTCGATTGGGACCTAAGTGATTCCTCCGGACACTCTGGCGGGATCTCGACGGGAGGTAGAGCACTACTACTGCTAGTTCCCAGATCTATGGCAGGGCCAGAAGGTAACGCAATGCTGTTGTACACTGCGTTTTGCACGTAGTAGTTGAACTCCTCTTCGGAGTCTGCATCCCAGATTGCCTGGAGTCTCATTGACTCTGCCGCGTAGTCCGATTGGACGACCTGCATTTGGGACGGTCTCTCGGTGGAGCTGGATGGTCCTGATGAGCCACATTCTTGGAACCTTGGTGATTCCTCTGGGTTCTCTGGCTGCGGGATCTCAAGGGGAGGATCGGTGCTACTACCCGGGGCGTTGCGATACGGCATAAGATCCCTATCCGGTTCTAATCCAAACCCTTGCCTTTGCTCAATTTCCTCCCAATCCTCGTAATAGGGGTCGGCATTATCAGGCCTACCACCCGTATTCACACCTAGTCCCCTCACTGGGGGGTTTGCAGACTTCTCAAACAGGGTTCGGTTCTGGAGTGACCACGGGATCTGCCGGTGCTTCCTATCCAACAACCGAACTTCACCAGTTGTTAAGGAACACAAAGACGGGTTGTCTGGTCTCATTGTTCCTTGAGGATGAATGCCCCTCATAACCAACTGAGCCTCCTCAACCGAAATCCCAACTTCCACCAAATCTTCAACGTAGAGATAATACAAGTCCGCAGGGCTCTCAACGCCTATCACTGTTAACCTTCTCAACAGCCAGGGTACTCCCCTCTTCTGAAGGAACACCGCCATGCTCTCCTCCTCAAGGTTAACCTGGGGAGCCCACGTGGGGTCCTTTCCAGACGGATCCCATCCTATGAAAGGTGTGTAACTGTCCTCCTGAAGGTCTTCGTCCAACTCATCATGCATTTCCTCCTCCTGATCATAATCGCTGTCGCTGTCAGAAGACGACTCCTGCTCAGAGGTGACCTCCGCAGTGATTGGGGTCTCACGCACTACGCAAATCTCCGGGTCAGGCTCTATTGATTGAAAGACAAAACCCATCGCTTCGAGTCTCGCCTTAGCCTCTGCGTTCAGCTTATGGGAACCGAGTGGGCTATAACCAACTATCACCCAATCTTGCGTACGCTGCAACGCGTGCCTCCTTCTGGGATCGAAGGTCGTTGCTGCTTCAGACAAGTTGATACACCCTGTTGTTTCCCAATCTGGTTCTTCATTGGTCTTACCCTTAGGTGGGTCCTCAGGACTAACCCAAAGTCTTAAGGTGGAGGGAAGATAGGCAACGTGGTTCCGCGAATGCCACTCGTTCCTGAAGTCTCGGTGTGCCGGGACATCCTCAGCCTTCATTATCATCAGGGCGGTC